AATTTTATCGTAATGTTTTTATTTATAGTTTTATGTTCATCCTGTTTAACACTGTTAAATAATTTCATCCTATTGGTGATGGCGTGATTTAAAAAGTTGCCATTTATCATCCCATCTCCAGTGAGAATGGTAGGTACAGTGGAAAGACTAGTGGCCCTAGTCAGAGGACATGGGTTCAGCTACCCCTCTGATGCTCACTATATGACCTTGGGCAAATTCTTTTAGTCTCTTTGGGCTTTGGTTTCCTCATCCGTAAAATGAAGGAGTTGGACCAGCAGATGGTTTTGGAGGTGTCTTTGGGCCCTAGACATCCGATCCTTTGAATGGAGCTCTGCCTCTATGCTTTGACAGTCAGGCTCCATTACAGCAGTCACTAACATAGTGTTTACGGTTTTTTTTTTCCTCTTGGAATTTTATTGTGTCATATATCGCTTATACTGGAAGGGCGAGGTTTGGAAGCTCTTTGTTATACTGAGATATTCATTGTAATGGTATTTGTTTTTTCAGGAGGATGTAACCAGTACTACCTCTCCATAGAATCATTGATTGAGAAGTAGAAGGGACCTCAGAGGCCATAGTACAGTCACTTCATTTTTGGCAGATAAGGAAACTGAGGCCGAGATAGGTTAAGTGACTTACCGAAGGTCACAGAGCTAGTGTTGGAGGGGGTTTGGAACTTAGGACCTTTTACTCCAGTCACTGTTCTATCATAGCAATCCATTCAGTATGTTTTTCTTATAATGGAACCAAGTTAGCTGTAGGAAGGTGATGTTAAGGAAGACAAACCTGATCACAATACTAGCATGAGGAGAAGTTAGTCTTATTAGTATGAAAAGTTTTACTGTTTTGAAATCTCCTTTCAGCTTAAAGGATAAAGAAATGACCAAATAGTCTGATTGACTGAAGAATAAATTAAACCAAGCATTGTGTTTAGCAGGCAACTGTTAGCTTTTAATTCAGCGCCTTCAACTTTACGAACAGAAAAGATGATTGAGGCCTCAGTTACCCCTGCTTTTACACATGTGGGGCAGTGCTGTTATTACTAGTAATCGGCAAACAGAAAGGAAAGTGTATTACATAAACCGAACAACATTTCTGGGGAATTCATCATTTCAAATGTTAATGCTCTAGTTTTAAGTTGGTACTGGGAGAAAAAGGGTTCAAGGAAAAACAAAGTGTTGTGAATGCCTTGTCGATATCCACTCCAGCTTGGATGATGTTGGGATTTGTCCTTAAATATCAGACTTGTGACAGATTATTGGTTAAGTTGCTCCTGAATATGGAAGCTGGGGGTGGGGAGAGGTGGAGGGGAGGACAAGGGAGAAATTCTAAACAAATAACTGCTTCTGTGCTTTAAAAAATCCTAGACAGAATAATTGAAACTTAGAAAACAGAAAAATGACCAGGTTGATATTCATGTTAGGGATTTTGTGATTTGCAAAAGGACTCTATAATGTTCATTAGGCTTTGTTTAAAAAATGTAGTGAGGAGCAGCTAGGTGACACAGTGAATAGAGCACTGGCCCTCCAATCAGGAGGACCTGAGTTCAAATCTGGCCTCAAACACCTACTAGCTGTGTGACCCTGGGCAAGTCACTCAACCCTGATTGCTTAAAAAAATGTAGTGAACTCATCTAACGCACTTAAAATGTTACTGAACTTAACTAAAATTTGATTTACACAGATCTTTAAGGAGTCCACAGGTACGTCCAGGGCACCTCAGCAGTGTCAGGCTTTTTGTTTCGTATGTAAATATCACATGATCACATTACTAGATAATTTTTAAAAGAAATTTAAAAATTTTTAAACTGGTTGCCAGAGACTTAAATGAATGAATAAACTCAAAAGATTTTTCCTTTTCCACAGTTCATTCAGAAGCATTTATTAAGTACCTGCTTTATAGGTACGTAATGGAATGTTAGAGGAACTGGAAATACAAGACAAAAACCAAAGGGGAAGAATGTCAACAGGAAAGTTTGGGGTTTTGTCCTTTGTTCTTGAAGAGGACGGTGACATCAGGAAGGTGATTCTGTGACGTGCAAGTGCATTGGATTTAAGTGAGGGAGGGCTGTGCAGTCACCAGCCTCACTCTCTCCTCTGGAGCCATCTAGGACTGGAGATGGTCCACCGACAGGAAATTAAATATGAATTAGATGCAGAGTAATTTCTACCTTGTGCCGTGGCAGGTGAGATTGAGCTGTGAGGCAGGAGGATTTGTATCTTGGAGAAGCTGCTGGAACTGTCCCTGAACTTAATTAAAAAAAATTATGACCTTGATATCAGATTATTATTCTCATAGGATTTGGCTTAAGGAGGGAATAACATACACACTCAGTTGGGTATGGAAATCTATCTTACCCTACAGGAAAATAGTGGGGGAGGTCACAAGACAGCAGGGGGATGATAGAGGGGAGGACACATTGGGGGAGAGGGTGGTCAGAAGCAAACACTTCTGAGGAGGGACAGGGTCAAAAGAGAGAATAGAATAAATCGGGGGTGGGGGTGGGGGGATAGGATTAAGGGAAATACAGTTAGTTTTTCACAATGTGACTACTGTGGAAGTGTTTTGCATAACTACACATGTATAATCTGTATTGAGTTGCTTGCCTTTTCAATAAGGGTAGGTGGGGAGGGAGGAAAGGAGAGAATTTGGAACCCAGAGTTTTAAAAAGACATTAAAAAAATTGTTTTCACATGCAGCTGGGAAATAAGAAATACAGGAAATGGGGTCTAGAAATCTATCCTGCCCTACAGGAAAACAGAAGGGGGAAAGGATAAGAGAAGCGGGGCAGAGATAGAAGGGAGGGCAGATTAGGGGAAGGGGTATTCAGAACGCATGCCGTCTTGGGGTGGGGGGGAGGGATGAGATGGGGAGAAAATTTGGAACTCAAAATCTTGTGGAAGTGAATGTTGAAAACTAAAAATAAATAAAATTAAAAAAAAATAACTATCAGATTAAATGGGTATTCCCATGTATAAAGTAAATATAGTATTACACACAGAACTGTAAATTTCTGTTATGTGCAGCTTTTAAAATTTTAAGTCTCGATTTCAGTATGTAGCATTCAAAGATATCTGGCTTGTCTTTGATTCCTTCTGTCCTTTCTTCCAGTCTCTTCAATGCATTTTTGAAAAGTACTTCAGTGACCCACATTAGCATGAACTCTGTCACTAGAGTTTTCCTCCTGCGTTGGAGAAAAAGAAAAACAAAACCCTTGTAACAAGTATGCAGAGTTAAGCAAAACAAATTCTCACATTGACCATATCTGAAAATGTATGTCTTAGTCTGCGTCATGAGCCCATCCATCACCTCTGAAAGGAGGGGAGCAGCATTCTTAGTCAGGGCTCCTCTGGAATCGTAGTTGGTCATTGCTTTGATCAGAACAGTTAAAGGCTTTCACACTTGTTCATTTTTGCTGGGTTGTTGTAGTATAACTCATGCCCCTAGTTCTGTTTACTTCCCTCTGCATCAGTTCATTCAAGTCTTCCTAGGCTTCTCTAAAACCATCTCTTTGGTCATTTCTTATGGCATAATAATATTACATTAGATTCATATATACAGCCATAATACGTTGACCTGTTCTCACTTAGTCCATTACAAAGCTCTACTATAATGATGATGATGATAATTATTATTATTTTACATACGGGTCTTTTCCCTTTGTCTTTTCATCTCTGCAGGGGAACAGGCCCACAAGTGCAATGGCTGGGTCAAAGATGTGCGCAGCTTAATGATTTGAGGAATAGTTCAAATTTCTTTGCAGAATGTCTGGTTCTCTGGGATGGCTTGTTGATTGCTTCTTGCAGCACAGTAACAGCTCATTGTATCTGGGGGCCATAACTTGTTCAGCACTTCCTCAGGGGAGGGCCATCTGCCTTGTTTTGGGTTCTTTGCTACCATAGGAAAGTGCTGCTAAAAATACTTTGGTTTAGGGATGGACACTTTAGTCACCCTCTTCGCAGAATTCCAGGTTGCTTTCCACTGTAATTAGACCAGCTCACAGCGCCACCAGCCATGCCGTCGTGTGCCCGTATTCCCCCAGTGCCTCTGCCTTTGACCTTTCTGTTGTTTGTCTTCTTTCCCCATTTCCTGAGCGCCGTTGGGATTGTTTCAATTTATATGCCTAGCACGGTGAATAGTGCCCTGGTCTGGAACATGATCTAGCTCAGTCTCACATCTGCTTCGTGCTTGCCAGGTCACCACCCATGGCGAATCGCTTGAGATTTTAGTACTCCAGGTGACCGTTGTTCAGTCATTTCCAGCTCTCCAGGACGTGGTGGCCCATAGCACACCAGCACTGTCCTTGGGGTTTTCTTGGCAAAGATGCTGGAGTGGTTTGCCATTTCCTTCTCAGCTTATTTTACAGATGAGGAAACTGAGGCAAACAGATTAAGTGACTTGCCCAGGGTCACACAGAACTCAGGTCTTCCTGACTCCAGGGCCAGTGCTCCATCCACTGAGCCATCGAGCTGCCTGGTTCTAGGTAACTACCTAAGTCTGAATTGCAGACAAAGGGCCAAGTGGCCTTGGCGAAGGGTGCTTCTTTACCAAACCAGTGAATCACAGGTCCAGTCTTGAGGACTTCTGGAAAACTAAATTTATGCGCCAGTGTGCAAGGGCAGCATAAAATAGATTGTGTGAAATGTTGTTCTGCGTGTTTGCGTTTATGTGGAATAGGAATGTTGCTATTGACAGACCCTAGTGCCTGGAATCTTATCAAATGACCTTCTTATGTACATTGTCTTTTCTAATGAAACTGTGATTTGAACCCTGAAAGCTTGAAGTAGACAGGGAATAAGATTGTCACTGAAATACTTTCCTGTTTTGAATGGGGTATACTTTCATTTTTACAAAAACATCTAAATATCACTTTTAGCTTTTGTGTGTGTGTGGGGGGTTCCTTCTTTCAGTTCTGCTGTTGGCTTTGCTGTGTGAAACAGAATTCTCAGTGGTTAATGTTTACTTGGATATAAATGTTTTTATGTTTCCCTCTCTTGCAGATTGACTCCCAATGATGCAAAACATGGCCTCAAGGGCGATTTCGTGTGTGAAAGACAGACCCAAAAGGAAAACACGAGCAAAATTGATGGCCAGAGGCGTGACGCTGAGCTAGGATTCGAGGGGTTGTCATAGTGTGCGTTTTTGACCTGATTAAGATCGAGACATGTCTTTTTGCTGTTCTTTCCCAAATGCTCTCCAGCTGGATCCACTTGGCTTTTATGGTAAGGCCTTGTCATCTGATTAAAGCCCTGGTTTTTATTTTTTAGTTTATTTGAGCCTCCGCATTTCACGGGCGTTGTAAGAAGATTGGTAAACTCCCTTGATGTGCAAGTCACAGCGTCAAGAAGACATTAACTTGGAAACTCCAAAGGAAAAGGATGGTGGGCTAGCTAGCGGATCAGACTCTTGGGAATACCAGTGGACCGTTGAAGCCCTTACCTGTTTCGTCTTTGGGGATAGTGTGGAGAAATAGGTCACTGACCTTGCACATGGACAAATTGATTGAAACATGGCCTGGGTGAAGTTCTTACGGAAACCTGGGGGCAACCTGGGAAAAGTTTATCAGCCTGGAAGTATGTTATCGCTAGCCCCTACCAAGGGCTTATTAAACGAACCAGGACAGAACAGCTGCTTTCTGAACAGCGCTGTACAGGTGAGGCCTTTTTACTGATTCTTCTTGCGGGAGCCGCCGTGCATGTTATTCATTAAAGTTTGTGAAGTGGTTTGTGTGCAGGGTATCCCCAAAGTCTCAATGCAGTTTTAATGCTTAATAGCTAATAATAAGCTATTTGCTTCTAGATAATTACTTTTTTTTCGGCTATGAAAATTCTCAAAATTGAAAAATTCCCAAAGAAATTCTCAAAGCTGTTAATACTAGTGATCTATGAAAGCTTCAGACTGCACCAAGACTTTTGGGACACCTTATACATATATCATTTAAATACTTAACAAGAAAAGTCATGGTCATTATTTCTTCTCCCCCAACCTTTTTTTTTTTTTGAGAGCATCCTGCTCATCGTTTCTTATAGTACAGTAGTATTCCATCATAATCACATACCACAGTGGATGGTCATCCCCTTGATTTCTAATTCTTTACTCGCAGAAAAGAGCTGCTATAAATATTTTTGTACGTAGATGCTTTTCCTTTTTGTTTTTTATCTCTTTTGGGATATAGACCATGAAGTGCTATTGCTAGGTCAAAGGGTATGCATGATTTTGTAGCCCTTTGGGCATAGTTCCAAATTACTCCGCAGAATGGTTGACTCAGTTCACAACTCCACCAACAGTGCATTAATGTCTCATTTTCCCACATCCTCTCCTGCATTTGTCATTTACCTTTTCTGTTGTGTTAGACAGTCTAATAGGTATGAGGTAGTCATGGTCATTGTTTCTAAACCCGAGTTATTGATTGGGATGGCCCTTCTGTGCACTTTCTCTTCAATACTTCTGCTGTCTGTGCTCGGATTGGTGTCATTACATCCTTTGCTGACACAGTCTACAACTCTTCATAACCTGGTAAATGGACTTTGAGAATTAGCCAAAAAATCAGTCATCTGGAATCTGACCTACTGGGAGCCTTTCCAGATTCAGTGCAGTCCCACAAGGCTTTCCAGCCTGAAAGGACCTACGGAGAGCTTGCGCTCCCAACATGTGGACATAGAGGGCCCCTCTGTGCTGATGGAGGCATCGGAGGAATGCATGGATTAGTGAATGTGCATTTATTATGCATTTACTAAGGCCTCAGACACTCCCTAGCTGTGTGACCCTGGGCAAGTCACTTCACCCCATTTGCCTCAGTGTTGTCATCTGTCGGATGAGCTAGAGAAGGACATGGCAAACCACTCCAGTATCTTTGCCAAGAAAACCCCAAATGGGGTCAGGAAGAATTCAACACGACTGAAAAACAAAGCTGCAAATAGATGCAGATAGAGAAGTCAGACTGTTCTAGCTGTCAAGGAGCTCACATTCTGTTGGGAGAACCATCCATACAGAAGATTTTAGCAGGACCCGGGGTCCTTGGGGACAGTGACCAAGCTGATGGTGTGGCCTCTTCTTTCATGTCATTTGCACTGATCATAGCCGTTTCTGATGCTGAACCATTGGACAGAACTGAGGTCTGGTGACAAGAACCTTCTTTTCTGGGTCTCTAGGAGCTGCAGCCCTTGCAGGAGCAATGCCAGGGTGCACACCCCCGGGGGCTGCTGCTTCCCAGGGTGATGGCTGAGAGCCCTGGCCTGGAAGCCTGGCTGTTCCCAAGGCTTGGGGGCAGGTCCTGGACTGTCTCCATCAGGATCTGAGGGGTTTGTATTGAAGGTGCCGGTTAACTTGTCTTGGCACATGCTGCCTCCTGGCTCTTCCTCTGAGTGCCTGCCCAATGCGTGGCAGTCGGTGGGGACGACTGGCCCCTTGTCTGCAGGAGCCTTCTCCCCAATCCTGACTGTGATGGTTGGGAGGACCGGGCTGGACGCAGGACCAGTGGTGTCTAGGGCTTTGGGGCTCCAGGGTTTTGGGGTTCATTTGCCTGTTGGTGGCAGTTGGCCAGCAGTTGTGATGGGTGGTGATGAGGGAGGTGGCCTCCTCCTCTACAACAGTGATTTCTCCCCTCAATGATGGCAAAGGGGCTGAACTGGAAGTGGATGGTTTAGGGGATACTTTTATTCCCAGGACTTTTGGACTCAGGGCCCCAGGCTTTCTTCATCAGGGTCTGAAAGGAAATGATGGTCAAAGTAGAGGGATGTAGGGATGGTTCAGTTAGCTCGGCACATGCTACCTCCCTTCTCCCTGCCTCTGAGTGTCTGGCTGCTTCGGCCTGGTTGAAGACCTCTAGTGGAAGGTCTTAGAGACAGAGAATTTATGTCAGTTCATTTCTAAATGTATCCAGCAAATCTTTGTTAACAAAGAATACAAAAGGGAAGGGGAAAAAAGCAGCAGTTCAGCAAAGCTCACAGAAATCGAGTCCGCCATTACGTGGAGCGTCCACGTTGGGCGTCATAGTCATGGTGTCACGTTGCCTCTTTTCCTTCTTTGTTTGTGCAGGGTAGTCAGTGTTCACATAAAATGTTTTCGTGCTTTGCTGATTCTTCGTATGCGTTTTTTCTTCGGGTGCAGTAATGTTCCCATATGTTCCTAGATGACACTGGTTAGCCATTCCCTAAGAGAACATTGATTTTCTTGACTGTCACAAGATGAGCTATTTGGGGTACCTGTTCGTAGGATGGGAGCTCTCTACCTTTGATCTCCTTGGGGTAAACACCTAGAAAAGTCTGGGTCAAAGAGAATAGACAGTTGCTTTTTTAAAAAAGTGTAATCTAACTTATTTTCCAGAATGATTGGACCCATTAACTCACTGCTGAACAGTGCATTTGTGTGCTGGTCTTTCCACATCCCTCTAACGTCAACTGTTTCCATCTTTTGTTATCTTTGCCAGTTTGCTGGGTAGAAAGTTGAACTTGAGATGTTAAGATTTGCATTTCTTTATTTAGTGGGTTGGAGCATTCTTTCATGTATTTGTTCATTTTTTAAAAAAGATTTTTAGAGAGGTGTTCATGCCCTTTGTTAAATGTTTAGCACAGTGCCTGGTACATCTACACCTGGTAGGTGCTTAATAGATGCTTGTTCTCTTTCCTTCCCTTCCCTTTAGGTAATGGACCTTGTTCTGACATATTAGTGTTATTTCCCCATAGCTAGTGAAGGCAGTAATGCTTTCCTTTGTCTTGACTGCAGGTTTTTGTCTTGTAATTGTCTCCAGCTTTGTAATCCCACTAGGCACCTTTAACCTGAAAGGTCAGATCTCATTAGTTTAAATTATTTTGTTGTTCAGGTCTTTGGGTCAGACTCTTCAAAACCCCATTTGGGGTTTTCTTGGCAAAGATACTGGAATGGTGTGCTATTTCCTTCTCCAACTCATTTGACCGATGAGGAAACTGAGGCAAACAGGGGAGGTGACTTGCCCGGGGTCACACAGTTGGTTGCTGTCTGAGACCAGATTTGAACTCAGAAAGATGAGTCTTCCTAAGTCTAGGGCAGGCACTCTATCCGTTGTGGTGCCACCTAGCTGCCCTACCCTATTGGCATTCCCATGGCCTGGGAACCTTTGTCTCGGGACTCAAATCACCAGATAGTTTAAGGGGGTTTCAGAAGGGGAGGTTCAAATGTTGCAGTCTCAATTCTGACTGTATGTCATTGATAGTCAAGCAGAAGATGACGCTGCTGTTGCTTGAGATTTTGCTCTGACGTCTTGCCGATTGTTATAGAAGACCCTGTTAGCACTCACTCAATGTCTCTGGTCCTCCAGAGAGGCCATTGACCCAATTTATTGGCTACTGAACCTTGTCTCTCACTTTACCTTAATTTCAGTCGAGACAGTCTCTCTCTTGCCAAAATTACTTTGTATGATGTGTGTACACACACACACACACACACACACACACACACACACACACACACACGCATGCACATTGTCTCCCCCAGTGGAGCTGTGCTGAGTTCTGGGGACAGAAGTGGAGAGAGGAGAGCCTCTACTGTCCTGGAAGTCGTACTTGGTGATAAGCTCCTTGAGCAGGGCTTCTCCTTTTGGTCCTTGTCTTCCTAGTGCTTGGCACACAGTGCATGCTGCCCTTGTTGCTAGGTTGGTGGCAGGTTGTGGGAGGGGAAGAGCAGGTATGGCTCACCCCCATGCTCCCTGACCTTCGTCTGTGGGACGTGAGCGCAGCAGTGTGGCCCACAGTGGAGGAATTTTGCTCAAAACTGAGTGATGGCGGTGTGAATGAGGTGGGCACTTCAGAGCTGTGACGGGCTGGTTTTGTTTGTCAGGATATGAGAAATGTTTCAGCCGGACCCCAACATTGAGTGTTCATTTAGTAGTGAATATAGTAAGAAAAGCTTCAGAGCATGCCCTCCTCTTTTGTTTTTTTGGTTTTTACAACTTCAGCTTTAGTTATGGGTGAGCTTTGCAGCAGTGAAACAGATGCATTTGACTACTGGAAAACAAGCCCTAAATAAAGCCCCCTTTCTTATTGTTGCTTTTGGCTACATCTGTGAAAAGGAGGCTGTTCCTGTGCTGTCCCATTGGGAGAATGCAAATACTGAAGAGCCATATCAGCTCATTCCTTGGCACAGTGAACAAGGGAATGTAATGGAGTGTCTTGTCTCTTTGGGAAAACAGTGGGTGGCAGTCAAATGAAAAGAAATCGGAGAATTCTAAACCTAGCCATGGGGAAGACTTTCTCTTTTTTTCGGGGGGGGAGGTTGGTGGTATTTGGGGCCTTCTCACCCTAGAAAACCTGTGTACCTACATCCTGCTCACAGTGGAACATCCTTCCACCATGCCAGCCCCTTTTACCATTAGTGAGTTCCTCCTTAGAATCCAGTTTGGGGAAGGACCCAAGCCAGCCTCTGTTCCCCTCCTGGCTTACTTCTGACTTAGCAGATTTCAACACTGTGCCTCTGTTTCAGTCTCATCCTTAGCCTCCCTCAGTGCCTAGGGCCTCTTAACGCTGGAGAATCCACACACCCTGCAGCCTCCCTTCGCCATGACAGTCTGCCTTTCCCATCAACGACTGCCTCCTGACCTGAAGTCTCCATTTCAGGGGAAAGGCCCTGAGCTGACTTGTCTGCATTCCCATACCCCTGTTCCCAGCACCTCTTCCACCT